GGGAAGAGCTCCGGTTGGCATTTCTGGAAAAGCAATTGAATACAGTGAAGTAGAAAAAGCAAGGAGCAAAATGATAAGTATGATAAGATCTCACTTATGTGGGAAGATACACAGGGCCATACTATGTATGTGTACACACGTATGTAGGTAAATACATTGAAAAAGGTCTCACGATGCTCTGGGGAGGGAGTAGATTGGGAGATCGGATGAAGGGGGTTTTACCTTGTACATTGTATATTTCTGAGATATTTAACATTATTATTTAGAACAGAAGTATAGTTATGTAATTGAAGGGGTGGGGGAAAGGTCTGCATTTGGGAAACTTGGATATTCTCTTGCTTCTTGTGGCTAGGGACTGGCTCAGACTCAGCTCCGGGAAAATTTGAGAGTCAAGAAAAGCTTTTCCACGCTCGCCCTACTCCCTTCCTCCGTTTGGTTCCCCGTCACCATCCCTACTCGAAATCCTTCCAATATACCTTAGTCAAGGAGTCTTCCTAGCATCCTGCCTCATTATCACACACCTTATCTGCAAAACCTACTCTCAAAGAGGAAACATGAAGATAGTAAATGACTCACAGGCACATGAACGTCTGAATTAGGCATTATTCCTAAACCATATTTGATAAAAAAAACTAATAGAAAATATTTAGAGGGTGTCTCAATTTCCCCAAACATATTTATCACTTTTTTTATTAGTATGACCATATGATGTTAAATTAAATATTTTTAACTTTTTATTTTGAAATAATTTCAACTTTAGAACAAAGTTACAAAAAAAGCACAAAGAACTTCATTATATCCTTCATCCAGCTTCCCCAAATGTTATTTTACATAACCACAGTACAATGATCAAAACCAGGAAATGGACATTACTACTTTTCTATCACTAATCTACCGATATTCAAATTTCTATGATTTTCCAGCTAATATCCCTTTTTTTCTGGTCCAGGATTCAGTCTAGGAGCTCACATTGAATTTGTTATCTTTACTTTGTTTCTTCTAATCTGTGACAGTTTCTCAAACTTTTTTTTACCCCAATAACCAGGAGCGGATTAACCAATAAAGTAAGCACAGGTTCACTTGTGCTTACTTAGTAATCTGTAGTGAACAATTTCACATTTTTTCGCCACATCAAAGATTCTTCTTCTAGGTATGGCTGGCATCTTGTCTCTCTCCCAACCCCACAGCACCTTCCTACAGAATCAAAGCCTCTTCAAATTTACAATCCCTGACATGGGCGGATGACGCAGTAAGCAAGGTAAGTACGGGCTTACTTGTACTTATTTAACTAATCTGTAGTGAAATGACCATGACATGATCCATGACCATGACATTTTTGAAGATGTATGGGCCAATTATTTTAGAGAATGTCCTTTAGTTTGTGTATTAATATTTCCTCATGATTAAGTTCAGGTTATGCATTTCTGAGTGCATCACATCAGGAGACCGTGATGTTAAATATGTCTCTTTAATGGTGACGTTATCGCTGATTTCTTGGTTAAGGTCGTGTCTGCCAGGTTTTTCCAATGAAAAGTTGTGATTTTACCTTACGTATTTAATCTTAGGGGCAAATATCCTCCTCATATGCACACTAATTTTAGCACCCATGATTCTTGATTGCAACAGTTATTACCGTGGTGTTTGGCAAAGGGTGATTTTTTTATTGCCATCCTTCTGATGTTAAATTTTAATCTGAATATTTAAATGCCTAATGACTTTTTAAAGGAAAGTATTTGACTAGTACTTTTCTACTTTACACTAGAGTGGGAAAAAGGCATTTGGAGACTATGTGATATGCCGTGGAAATTAGTGGCTAAAATGGAACTTGCACATGTATTATCTACAGATAATTGCATTCTAAGTGAATAATTCATTATTAGCAATTGCAAGGAGTTTGATTCTGAAAATCCCAATTTTCATGGTTTTACAAGTCCATTAACAAAATTGATTTTTTAACCCATGTGTTTGTAAATGGTAAAATAACATAAATGATATATGTAAAATAGCGTTTAAAAATAGAACAAAAATTTAAAGTCTTGAATATTATTCCTGATGTATTGCTAAATTTGTTTGGCATTTACAAAACTGACCATTTGAATTAACAATATACCTGGCTCTTAACTCAATGTTTGCTGAAGGGATTTAATGAAAGTTAGAATGAGCACTCCCTTGAATGTACTGCAAAGAAAATAGGTTTCTTGTGTGTGAAACTTAGAGATCTTTTCATCACTGGGTTATTTGACTGTCAAACACTTTGATAAATTTCATTTGAAGATTACTCTGTGCAGAAGATTTTCCCTAACCTTTATCATTTTACATGGAAAACTGGTTTGAGATTGGGTTTTAGTCTTGAAGTCAGTTTTTCTTGCTTCCAGTATGAAAAAAAGCAGTAGAATGAATTTTGGCTCTTTTGGGATCATTGATTTTTTGAGTACTATCTATGAACTCTTCTCCCAGAAAAATGCACAAATTCATATAATGCATTAGAGCAAAATGCAATCCAATATCAAGTTGGGGGAGGAGGAAGAGAGGTAGTTGATGGGGGTGGGGGTTGGAAAAGCGGGCTGCCTGGGTTGTCAGAGGTTTCCCAGACAGTTTACCCTCCTGCCATATGGCACAGCTCGCCTCTTTTGGCAGTTCAGGTGGGCCGCTAGGGCTGCACAGCCCATCTGGCTCCTCGTCATTTCCCTCCAACACCCTTCCTCTAATCCCAATATTATCCTCTCCTCCATTATCACTTATTCTGCCTGTCTCCCTTGCTGGCTCTCTGCTCTTTATCAGGGCCTTCTGTCACTGGCTCTTTCTCGCAGCTCCCTCACCAACCACCTGTTCAAGAAGATAGCTAAGAAGCTCAAGTGAGAGAACCTGTCCACTTCCAAACGGATAAAGCAGAGAAGAAACACGCCAATGCTCTTCCTCTTCATCAGCATAGAAATCCTGCCACGTTTTCCCTGCGTGCTTGAAGATGAAGAGCTGATGAACATGTTAGGGAAACACGTCTAAAATCAATACACACATGATTATTATTACTAATGAAGAGAAAGCCGGAGAGTCATGCACCCTTCCAATCTCTCAAAGGCAGGATGGAGATGGAAAAGGGAAGTGGGGGCCTAGGAAAGGGGATCAACACCGGTTGTAACGAAATATTTCTGTTTTCTGAAAATGGAAAGGATGTGAACTCCTAGAACCCGCTTCTTCGCCCGCCAACTCCCTAGCGTCCTGCCGCTAGACTCGCCCTCCCGCCTGTCCCAGCCTCGGGCCCGCCACCGCTCGCGGCAAAGCTTGGCGCTCCAGCGCGCGCCTCAGCCGGGGCAGGGCGGGGCGAGGCGACGGCTGGAGGGGCGGGGCCGCGGCGCGCTGGGGATGCCGTCCCGGACTCTGAGGTCACCACAGCGCCGGCCAATGAGAAGCCGGAGAAGGGGATTCCCGCTCCGGCGGCCGCCCAGCAGGCTTTTTAAACTGGACCCTGGGGACCGCTCTCCAGGAGCACAAGGAGGAATGGAGGAAAACGGAGGCTTGGGGTAGAATATGAAAGCCCCAGGGGACGGGACTCTAGGAGTTTGGCGATTAAGTGTCAAGACTGGCTTAGATCAGGAAGGAAAAAACCTGGAGGCCGTCGAGGAGAAACTAAGCTCCAGGTAGGGCAAAGTCCACGGGAGATGGAGTGGAAACTGCAGCGCACCGGCCCGCGGAGGGTCCGCACCGAAGAAGAGATGCTGTGGGTGAGGAGGCCCTTTCCTTTCCTCACGCTACTCCTTAATGGGGCTGCTTGCCGCGGGCACCGTTTGTAACACCTGTGTAGGACCAGGAGGTGGGGCGAAGCTCTAGACTCTGATCTTAATTTTGAATTGTGTAGATTTAGTTACATTCTAGAGGTGCCTGGTCGTTTTAAAAAAGTGAGTGTGGTTTAACAAGCACAGCATCTAGAAACATTTCACACCTAACGTGATGATTTTCCTAAATAGTTTCTCCCTCAACATGTTATCCGTGTTTTCAAAGGAGAATGTCAAGCGGCCGCTCGCCGAAGACCTGAAGCAGAAGAGAAGTCAAGGTTCCTCCAAGGTGAGCGTCCAGTGCTTGCTCTTGTTCTGTTTTACTTCTGTCTTAAACAAACTAATCCTTGCTGAAGAAAATATTTGTAGGAAACATAGACTGGTCTGAAAATATGAGAATTAAAATAACTCTTCTGTAGTATCACTAATTTATGATTTCCTCAAAATATTGAAAAGCAGATAAATTAAAAAAAATGTTGTTGGAGTCGATTCCAGCTCATAGTGACCTCATGTGTGCACAGTAGAACTACTCCATAGGATTTTCAAGGCTTTGACCTTTCAGAAGCAGATCGCCAAGCCTGTCTTCCTAGGCGCCTGTGGGTAGGTTCCAACCTTCAGCTAGTAGTCAAGCCCTAACCGTTTGGGCCGCCTGGGGACAATTCACAGTTTCTAATTACACTCCCCTTTGGAGCCCTGGTGGCGCAGTGGTTAAAAGCTTCGGCTGCTAACCAAAAGGTCACTAGTTCGAATCCAGCAGCCGCTCCTTGGAAACCCTGTGGGCAGTTCTACTCTGTTCTATACGGTCACTATAAGTTTGAATCGACTCATCGGCGGACAACAACGGGTTTTGGTTTGGTCTGTTGCATTTGTAGCATTCCTCCAAAAGAAATGGAAATGGTGCCATCTTGTGGACAATGCGTAGACGTGGAATCATGTAGGGACTGGTTAGCTACTTAAAAGTTGATTCTGTGTGGTATTTTTTCTCCTTTAGAGACCAAACCCCAAAGCCTTTACCTTCTCTTGTAATCAGTGTTAAAATCAGAAATTTAAATGATCTTTTCTTGATTTCTTTTGCATAAACAGACTTGATATGCTTTAAGTCGTTTATTATCACCATTCACCTTACTCCTCTTTAGGCTAAATAGTCCACATTCCTTCGATCTTTATTAATAGACTCTAGTTTCAAACACATCACCATTTTTATAGCCTTTTCTAGATCTTCTCTAAATTTTTATGTATTCAACTGGTGATCCCCTAAACTGAACACATAACTGCACCTTTAGAACACAATGACTAATGCTATTTTTAGTGGGGAAAAACTAATGACATTTGTTGTTGCTAGGTGTCCTCTAGGCAATTTCGACTCATAGCAACCCCATGTGACAGAGCAGAACTGCTCCACAGGGTTTTCTAGGCTGTAATATTTATTTATTTATTTATTTTTATTGTGCTTTAGGTGAAAGTTTATAGCTCAAGTTAGTTTCTCATACAAACATTTATGCACACATTGCTATATGACCCTGGTTGCTCTCCCTATAATGTGACAGCACACTCCTCCTTTCCACCCCAGATTTCCTGTGTCCATTCAACCAGCTCCTATCCCTTTCTGCTTTCTCATCTCGCCTCCGGACAGGAGCTGCCCGTTTAGTCTCGTGTATCTACTTGAGCTAAGAAGCACACTCTTCACGAGCATCATTTTCTGTCTTATAGTCCAGTCTATTCTTTGTCTGAAGAGTTGGCTTTAGGAATGGTTTTAGTTCTGGGTTGACAGAGAGTCTGGGGGCCATGTCTTCTGGGGTTCCTCCAGTCTCAGTCAGACCATTAAGTCTGGTCTTTTTACTAGAATTTGAGTTCTGCACCCCACTTTTCTCCTGCTCGCTCAGAGACTCTCTGTTGTGTTCCTTGTCAGGGCGGTCATTGGTGGTATCTAGGCTGTAATCTTTACAGGAGCAGATCACTAGGTCTTTCTCCCACCAAACCACTGGGTGGGTTTGAAGTGACAACCTTTTAGCAGCTGAGCGCTTAAACATTGTGCCACCAGGGCTCCTTTAATGACATTTAAGTCCTTTAAATTCCCTAAATACTTCAATATTGATTTCTTTCCAACACATTATTTCAGTTTTGTCTCATGCCCAGTTTATGTATTACCATGACTCCTAGATATTTTACTACCAAATATGGACAGTTGATCTTTTGGTTAGTAAATAGAAGCAATTTGAAAAGCTACAGATTATTTAAATAAGTTTGCTAAGTCATTTGTACTGCTATAACATATTTTTATTATCCAAGCTTTGAATTTGGAAAACCTAAGTGTAAGTATTCTAAAAGCTTAGATTACAGCAAATACTGATTTTATTTCTCTCAGTAGTTTTGGAGGAATAAGTTCTGTTTATAACTTTTCTTTAATGTGATTATTAAGATTAAAATTCTGCCACTATGTCTCATGTTAGAAACAGCCTCTGACTTCATACACCACAAAAAGGAGCAGTGACCTGAATCAGGTAGGCAGTGTATTGTTAGCTGGCTGCTTTGGGTCAATTTAGCAGCCACGACTACCCTGCCACTTGCTTCTGGGTAAATTCATCTTGTTACTGCAGAGCATTGGTTACCTGTGTGCGATGGGCTGGCAGTGTATTGTTAGCTGGTTGAATCAGTAAGTGGCATCAGCTAACATGCAGCTGCTAACTTATTGCATCACTGTGAACATCAGAGTGTAATTAAATGTGCAATTTATATAAATAAGTACTTTTTGCTATGAACCAGGGCACTATTTATCATAATGGCTATTATTACTATTCCAGTTACTCAATTATAATGCAATGGACAGCTTTATAAGGGTGAAGAAACTACTCCAATTATTTTTAAATTTTCCAAATAATAGTTTTGGAGTTTTGGGTAGATATTATTAAAGTATTTGTGAAATTATATATTTAGTTTTTAATTATAAAATTTAGAAAATAATGACAATATGGAATGGAAAGCCTAAAGTATTTCCTCCAATTTTCAGCTAAGTCTTTAGTATTCTTTCTGGGCTATCAGTTTCTTAATATGGCATTAGAATAGGTCTCTATCACCATGTGTGTATACCAGGTCACTTTCTATATGAGTCAGTCAACTAAAACATTTTCACTTGAAATAGCAAGAAAATTGGGGAGTGTTTTTTTTGTGGGAGTGGGGTTGAATTGTTCTGGAAGATTTGCTTAAATTCTTCACTTCATTTTCTGTAAAATCATAGGCTTATAAAATGTTTAGAAGAGAGCATATTTAACTTGTTAAGTGGAAAGAACTGACTATACAACATGATTTTAAATGTTTTCTCATTTACTTGGAGGCCATTTTGACGGTGTCACATGTGTGCTGGGTCCCAGCCATACAGCGCACTCATGTGGACACTTGAAGTAAGGTAGTGTAACTGACTTTGATGGTCTGGTCAATTAGTCGCACCCTAAGTGGGGTATGAAAAATGTATCATAGTGTCTACTGTATTGGGTGAGAAGTTATTGGTAAAATAAGTTCTATTCTTCCCTATTTAAACATATTTCTAGAATAAGGGTTAAACAAATACCTATGGTTTGATTCTTAGTCATTTGACTATTTTTGAATCTCATCTTTTTTTGTTGTTGTTGCTCTTGACCAATATCATTCTATTTTTAGGATCATTGTGCTTAAGTGTCCCTTCTTTGTAAATATTGTTTTCGTCTTTTTAAAATACTTTATCTTTTTTTAAAGGTTAAACTTCAACATGTTATTGTCTATAGAATATATTCTGTTGTTAAAAACAAATAAAACCTACTTAATATAGAAGGCTTGGCCTTTGTGTTTAAATTTCTTTTTAAAATTAAAGAGTAAAAGACAATATGCCAACATCCATATTCAAAGAACAGAACAAATGTTTAAAGCTTTTCTTCAGTTCTATATTGTTGTTGTATGCCATTGAGTCAATTTCTACTCATAGAGACCATATAGGACAGAGTAGAACTGCCCCATAGGGTTTCCAAGGAGCAGCTGGTGGATTTGAACTGCTGACCTTTTGGTTAGCAGCCTGAGCTCTTAACTACTTTGCCACCAGGGCTCCTTCATGTTACTAAGAGATGAGAAAGGGAGGCAAAGAATAGAATGAAATAAAGATAAGTTAAAGAGATCAATGGGTAAGGAGGAAAACAAAGATATAAATTCAAAAAGAATCTGTTCCCATAGGAGTGGGAGGGAAAGAGAGGGGCACACATCTGGGAATTCAAGGGAAAAGCAGAAGGGAAAAGAGGTTAAAAAAGAGGAGGAAGGAGGCTCAGCTGGTTGTGAAGCATTTGGATCCCAGGCGTTTTCTGGTGGGGCAGCCACCGTGCTGTTCACTTGGGTCGGTCATGTAGCTACTTACCATCACTGCCCTCTGAAAGGCTTTCTAATTCCTTACTGCCTTTTATATCCCTCAAAAGATAACACCTCTCCGTGCAACGTATGGCCCATGTTTAGCTGGGGAAGGGGAAGGGAAGAGATAGGTGTTAGTTTCTAGGTGTAGTAGTTATTAGACTTTTATTATTCCATGGGAAACAGGAAATCAAGCTGAGGGCTAAATATGGACAGAACGTCCCCATACCAGCTCTGCCCAAACATGTTATTTTTCTTTCAAAGGCGCACCGCTAATTAACAGGATATTTTGTACTTGGACCACTTGGTACTTTTCAGCTCATACAAGGCAGTCTTTTGAAACACAGTTAATGTTTTTAAAGAAACTAATTTACAGAGAAATATAATTTTTGTTTTTCTTCACAGGTTTTGTCTACATGTCTTTTTTTCTTCTTCAAGTATTTTTATGTTTGAGCTCATCTGCAAATAATTCGGTTAGGTCATTAGATTTTAGTGTGATAAGGCAGTATATTGCCAGCAGTTCTTCATTACTCAGCAACTGCATATACTTCTATATTTTTACGTAACCTTCCATCCAAATAGTATACAGTAAAAAAGAGTATATATTTTGCTCTGGATTTTTCTTTGGAGATCCTTATGATAACTTGATCAAGTCTGATTTTTTTAAGAATTTTGGTGTGCTGGAGCCAGCTTGTACTGGTTTGTGAGAACTGACTTAAATTTTCAAAAATTTTGCCAGTCAGTTGTTAAACCATTGCAGCTATGTGGGAGCATTTACACCAACGAAATTGGCAAATCCTGCAAGTCAGGACTCCCCTTGCAGAGAGTTGGTTATTAAACATTAACCGGCCAGTACTGTCTATACAGTATCCAAACCCAACCCAACCCAACCCAACCCATTGCCATGGAGTCGACTCCAGCTCACATATG